GGGAGGAAAACATTTTCCGTGGAAATTTCGCACATCAAACGGTGCCTTAGATATTTTTATTTTTTTCTTTTTACTAATGATTAATTTGATCTTCCATTTTTTTTTCCGGTTTCTTTTTCTCTCGAAAATCTGACTGACCGACTTTTAGATTATTGGTTTGTGGGATGTGGCTATCGTCGAGAAAAAAATATATATAAGTTCAAAATATGTTTCTCAGTTACAACTTGCACTATAATCATACTAATTTCTTTTGATAAACTGTTTGATGGGGATTAAAATCAGATTTTAAATAGATTTTGATAGAGGCTAATGAAATGTGAAGTTGAAAAATTGTGGGACCCATATGATTATTGACTTTGATTTAGATTAAAATAATCGTTACAAAAACAAGGGCTTTTAAATTTGGATGCTAATATGTAATAAAAAAAGCAAATTTTTTTTAAGGTAAAAATAACGATAAAACAATAATTTAACATTAAAAATGGAGATTTTTGTGAATAGATTTAAACCTGATTATTTGAAAATCATTTTTTTCCACACTTATTTTCAACTATACATTTTCAAAAAGATTATTTTTTACCTTTCTCCTTAATTTTTCCATAATTTTTAACCATAAACATTCCCTCAAAAGTTATTTTTCGAATGCTCACTTTTACACAAGCACTTAGTTCACATATATATAACTTCGTCGTTGGATAAAATAATAAAGAGGTTTAGAAAATTTTGTCTACAACTAATTAAAATTGAAAAATAATTTATTAATAAATGAATTTTCTAAATTAAACAATTTGACAAATTTAATTTGCCAACCGAGATTGCGTCAATAAACAAAGTAAGTAAAGAATAAATACTTCTCCGTTGAGTAATCAATGACCGAAGAACTGTCAGTGATTATCGGGACAACAATGTTGTTAAGAATAAATACTTCTTTGACAATAAAAGAGCGGTGAGTGATTATCGACGATATTACAAACAACATTGTCATGGTAGCTGTTGACATATCTGCATGGTGATTATTGTTGCTATCGATAATTCTGTCTAAATCAACAGCTGATATTGAAAAGAGAAATGATATTCATCCCCAATGGAGATGCATCCCCAGTGGAGATGCATTCCCAATCTATGTGGCGTTAATATGTCATTAAATGATATGTGAAATTAAATAAGTCATTATCATTTAACCAATCATTTATATATTCATCCTCACTACGGATGAATAACATTTTTCTATTGAAAATGGCTGAGCCAAGACCTTTTTTTTTTTTTTGGCCAATTAAGACCATTGGTAAATTGACAAAGAACTATAAACTGGCACATTTGCATTTATTTTTCCCTTTCTTTAACTTGGTCGCTATGAAAATGCATTATCCCTCACAATTTGAGAATAAGTGGTTAATTAACAACACTCGCAAGAATTTAAAGGGCACAATCAAAGGTAATGGGATGGAGTAATTTACAAGTTTTCATTATCGACATGGTTGTTTGATGCTTTATAATATTTTGTGGTTTCTTGGGTCAAATCTCATATCGATAGAGATAAGATAAAAAGGAACATTTGGAATCTAAATAATTAGTTAGGCTATTCAGAGGGCCATTAGAGGAAAAACCCATGTGCCCTTCAAGTCGAAATGATAAATGAGATTATTTACAAATAAACATAAGAACATAATGAGAATAGCCTAATTATATAGACAATTCGACATTTTCTTAGTGAACGTACCATCAAAGTTTAGGCGGAGTTTTTAGGCTCTTATTTCAATCCAACGAGGGTTTGGATTAAGACTGGACATAGTCCAGTTTAGTACCAAAATTTTCGGATATTTAATAAATGGAACCGTCGGGTTCAAATATAATTATGGAACCGTTCGGGTTCGATTTAGTTCGGTTATGTACCATAATTAAAAATTTTAACAGATTTCTAATGGTCAACGAATAGTGGTCGCGGTTGGAGGTCGCGGCTTCGATGGGCATTGGAGAGGGGAAGTTGGACTCGGCAGTGTGCGGTTTCGATTTGGGTATGTAGATGTAGGTTTTTAATTTATCAAATGATTTGGGGTCATTGACTCAGAGGTTACTGAATAAAGTATAAAATTGGAAAGAGAATGATAAAAACTTAAAAAGACTTAGATCTTGGTTTAAAAATGAAATTGAAAGTATGACCAAAAAATTAAATTAAAAAATTGAATTTAGAAATTGGATTGGGCTGGACCAGCTAGACATGGACTTGGCTTAAGAGTTAGAACATTAATCACTAAGTTAGTTAATTTGCTAATTTGTTTAGAAATTTTTTTAACAAATTAATTAATTCAATATAAAAAATTATAAAAATTATTTAATTTGGTTCTTCAGTTTTGGGTCTAAAACCGATAACCGAATCAAACTTGTCGGTTCTCGATTCAGATACCCGTTCAGATATTTAACTTATGAAGAACAGCTCGATTCGATTTAGTTCAGTTCGGGTTCGGTTCGACTCGGGAGTTTTGTCCAGCCGTAGTTTGAATTGTCCAATCCTATTTTTTATTGCAATCAATTTAAGTACAACAAGAAGGCCACGTTGATTCGAAATAATCCGGAGGTAATGAAATAAGAGTTCACTATACCTAATTGACTTCATATAGTAATGATGTCGATGTACCCCACTGGACCCTTGGTTTTGACATGAGTATGATGCAAATTATATTTTGACATATTTTGTTAGTTTAATCGAAAAGAACAAAACAAGATTATTGAGAAGAAGACATTTGAACTATCACATTATTTTTAAAATAGTTCTAATTTGTCTTATTCAATACTGTGCAAGCCATTGTTTAACAAACTCGTGTCAAAATACAATAAAGTTTGGATATTATCTTATTCCGAAAAACCATATATACTGAAGATTTTTTTACAAATGTTTTACACCCACTCACATGGGTGGAGGCCCACCGAAATAAAAAATGAA